GACGGTACCTTTCCGCTAGACAATGACTGGTTGAAGATGGAAGTTAAGGAATTGGCCAGCTCGGCGGCATGGTGTTTCAAGATGTAAGCTGGTATGCCGTCTGATCCAGATGCTTTCGTGGTATTCAATCGTTCGAGAATCTTCGTTACTGCTGCTGTTGTAACGGGTTGGAATTCGAGAAGGCAGTTGTCTAAACAGTCGTCCGCCGGAGTGTCTGGGGTCGTAAGAGCAGCGCGGTGTTCATCATGGACGATATTGCCTAGGGTATCTGACAAAGATGAGAGGGAGGCTTTCGGTGTGGGGTGGGATTTTCTCCTTCCAGTTAGTTGATTCAGCACTGCCCATTGGAGTCTAGGATTTCCTGTAGCGGCACTGAACTTATCTTTGTAGTACACACTTTTCAGTTTGCGGTTTAGTAAAGTTCCTTGACGACGTATTGCACGATACTGCTGTCGGAGGCGGTCATCCATGGGGTGCTTTATTAAGGCGCGGTGGGCTGAGCTTCGTCGATGAAACATCTGTTTCAGCTCTGGGGTGACCCAGGGCTGGGGGCGGGGTTTGGAGTAAGCTGCGCGCTTCTGGGTAACGAATGGTGCAAGATCATCTAGTACTGTCATGACACTTTGTTGCCAGTGGCTTGCCGCTGCATTTAGAGTATAACCGCCGGATACATCTGAGGGGTCAAGGATGTGTTTGAGAGCTGCAGACGTTACACTACGGTCAAGGTGAGCCAGGCTAGGTTGGCGTCTTCGAGAGAATTGCTCGTGTGGCTGTTCAAAGTTGGCTCTACTAACACGGACAGAGAGGCCAATAAGATGGTGGTCGGACAGGCCATCGACGCTGTGAACAAATGTACTATGAAGAGACATGGGAGAGGAAGACGGAGCAGCCGTTGTCATTGTTGTCGGTATGAGTGCAAGGTCTAGGCATGACTGACTAGGAACTCTGGTGGGCTGTAGTATGACGTTTTGTAAGCTGTGGTCAGCGCAGAGGCCTTGTACATAGCGGGCGTTTGGGTGAGGTGGGACAGAGAGCATGTTGACATTGTAATCACCGAGGAGGAGGATGTCCGGACATGTCGCGGAGGCCATCTGCACGCTATTGTCGAGCTGCTCCCAGAAATCCACATGGCTGTCGGGAGCGCGGTATACGCAGCCGATGGATAGAAATGGATTCGTTCGGCTATGGGTGTGCAACCCACGGACGAGATAGTCAGGACCCTGGATTTTAGCAGCTATGAGTGTGCAGGCTATGGATATTGAATTGTTTTGAAGTATAGTTGATGTTCGGTCATTATGGAAGGAGAGGTGGAGCTACGGGAGAGATGAGCTGATTACTCACAGGTTGAGAGTGACATCGGTTGGACGAGTGTGACAATTACGAAGACAGATGAACATGATAATTTTCAAAGGTAACTCCAACTAATTTGGCAACGAAATTTTTTTTACAAAAGAAGTCAACTAATGAATAGAAGAAGTAATGTTTTCTCTTTTCCATGTTGATCTCTAGCATGCATGGACACCTTGGGAAGGGGATACTCATGTATTTTGTTGTACTTATGGCTACTTGCAAGTACGAAAAAGGCACAATTTTCCGAACTTTGAGGCTCCATAAGTACAACAAAGTGAATATGTATCCCCGCGTGCCAAAGCATAATAATTATGAGGATTTTGCGGGCATAATGCGAGAATCCATGAAAGCATAATTCCATGATTTCACGAGCATAATCCACCGGAGCCTACCCAGCATCAGCCATTGCAATATCCCAGTAACCCAGTTAGGCGTGAAGATGCACATCTAAGCACCTGGGCGCCCTGAGGACTGTGCGGTCGGTCACTGGTCATGGATGGGAGAGTGGTATGGTCTGAACAGTCGGTTGACCTTATGCTAGCTTGCCCGTAATGTCTCGATGTGTCTCAGTCTGTGTGTTTTATGATGGTGGTGCATTATGTGCTGTGTGACGAGCCGAGAGGCGTGAATTTCTGCCATATGCCCCCAGTCATGTATTGTCTTTCTCTGCAAATGCCGTTTTATCTCGTCTGAGTTTGTCTTGCCTGGAGTTCCATATGTGCAGCATGCTTGGTGTCTAGGCTTTCTCCAAATCGGCCCGTTTTTCCGCCTATTCGGCTTTTCGCTAAGCTCAAAAATACATCAGATTCGGCTGCAAATTCAGCTGACTGTTCGGAAATCGGCTGCAAAATTGGAATATATTGGAAAATCGGCTAAAAGAATTGAAGCATATTGGCTTCAAAATTGGTGAGATACAGAAAGATTTGGTAGATATTCGACGATTCTCAAAGAAACCCTCCAAAATCGGAGAGGGGCTTAGCGATTTTTCGATAAGTCTCGTTTTCGGTGAATTTTCGGCCGGCAGATTTGGGGAAAGCCTATTGGTGTCTACTAGTAGTGTTATACATGACTGTGATTTGACACAAGGAGGAAAACTTCCTTCTACCAGCGGAGAGGGCTCAACACAATAATGTGGAGCACTATTGCACACAAAAAGGAACAACGGAGGTTTACAGAATTGTCGCAGCTCAGAGTTTCTTGCTCAATGCGACTATGATTTTATGTGAGCATCGAAGTTGGTTAAAATGTGAATGTGTATTTTGCTCTCATGAAATTTACCAAAACATGTTCAGGATTTTCTTTTTCCTTCGCTGATTGGTGCTTCACCCTTTGTTCCCATGGATCTCGGTGCTGTACTTCATGCCTCCTTTCAAACTTTTATTTTTCGTCATAATTCTACTTGCCGCTGACTGAAAGTCAAAATACCGGTATGTGGATGATGGCTGGTGGTGGCTCTCTTTGATGGTACGGTTTGGAGCATTTACGGTATAGCGCACCAAGCCTGGCGGTTTGTGGACGCCCGTCCCCCCCCCCCCCCCCCCACACACACACATGAACATACGAAAAACGGAGACGAAATCACATGGAACATTGAACTTTTTCAGGGCTCCATCACCGAAGCACTTGATCACCATTGCCCCGTGAGGATACTTACCTTTTCCACCAAATATAAACCCGCACCATGGGTCGACGACGAGCTACGTAAACTGCTCTACCGCAGAAAACGAGCTCATAGACTCCTGCTGAAACAACCGGGTGACCAGTAACGAATCCAGTCGTTCCGAGCGCTTCGGCGACAGTGCAAAATCACCATGCTCTGTAGAAAGCCAATTACTTTCAGGCCGAGTTCATTTTACAACAGACGGAACCCTAGACGTCAATGGAGCGCTATGAACAGCCTACTTGGCAGAACGAAAGTCAGCCGTGACTCGTAGGGACCGGTGGATTCTGCACGAAAAGGTGGCAGATTCTGCTCGAAAAGCAGTGAAATTGGCAGAAACATGCAAACCTTATGGCGGGCAATTCCTCGAATTCTGCTCCATTTTTTTATCCACATACCAAAAATGCATGAAACTAATATTACTTACCAGAAAAAGTACCGAATTCTGCCGGCAGAATCCGCCGGACCCTAGCCGTGAGCCTGGAGGCTGGAGCTAGTATTGCAGACATTACCGGTGTGCCCACTTCATTCCTGATGATGGTTATTTCATGACCGAAACGTTGAAATATAATATTTTTCTGGTGAAAAGCAGTGATTTGAGTGTGGGCCAGTGTTGCTCACAACCAATTTATTACATCTGTATTCTCAGAAATAGTTGGGCCTTTGCCGCCAACAGAGACTTCTGACGCCCTGACGCTGGGATCCGTGCCTGATCAACGATCCAACATTCCGCCTGGTCTGCCGTGTGGCCCCTAGTCAGACGACACTCTAGCTTCTTTTACCCGAATGTTCATCGTTCCCAAGCGGTCACTAGTTTCTCCCACAATTTCATCATACTGTTGTAACTTGTACGACATGCTATACGACATCCTTATACCGTACAACACCGTATTGACAGTCACATTATGATGTCTTTGATGCTACGGTACGGGACATGTACGGGATATCGCCTGGCATGCCGGACCCTGGCTTTTATTTCAATTCGCTCAGGGCACAGGCAATACTGCCTTCTCACCGGAGAGAGGATTCTCCGATTCATACCAAAAACGAAAAAATCTGCGATATGAATATGTATGAGAAAGATATGAGTTTATCACTGATAGCCCTTTCCCAAAGGTGCTCTTTTAATTCGCACTTAGTGCTTTTCGCGTCCCTCAAAATATGCTGAAAAAGTGCTCTTTTTTCAGTGAGAACAGGCAAAAAGTGCTCTTTTTTCAGTGAAGCATAGCCATGATACATGTTCAGATATGAACCCAAGCTGAGAAATGAATACGCACTCTTCCATTCATGGGTCCACGAAAGGCAAAACAGGAAGTAAAGTTCATAAACCCATTTTTACAGCATTGTGTACACCAGGTACATGTACAAGCTTTACCAACTTGTTGCCCCAAAAAAGCTGCGTGCCGAGGCCCACCGAGCACTCGGAAACTGTGATCGCATGCATGAGCAAACAGATTTTAGCACTTTTTCAGCTAAAAAAGCTCAAAAAGGGCGATATTCACCAAAAAACGCAACAAAGGGCGAAAGAAACGGCTTTTCCCAAAAGGGCGAGCACCTTTGGGAAAGGGCTTATCACTGAATATAGTATTACATTTTCTTATAGCCACTTCTCCCCAGACAGTAACATGAAAGAAAAAGAAAGATCCGCGGTTTGCGTGAGACTCAGCTGGAGACCGAATTTTGCGCATCCGCAGGGACGCCGCCACCCTCAAAGACCAATGATGTCATGCTAAATACAGGTACGACTTACTTGTTACTACCCACAGCAAGCATCAAAATTTTTTAAAAATGCTAAAAAAATGTACGCGTTCGCATACAGGGCGGGTTAAGAACCACAATTCCGCTTCCGTGGGACGTCACCACCGCATGATCAGGCGTCAGATGTGGCTACTACGATGGTGGGGGAGGATAGATCAGATCCACCAACAGAGGCCAAAGGCCTAAATCCCGTTTGGCACATCAACTCAAAGCATCAGCATCCTGATACCGG